CTCAACGTTAAAGAGAACAACCTGGTGTTTTTAAGAGCGTGAACTGATGAGTCAGATAGCTAGGTAGGAAGGCCTGCTGTGAGGCACATACCAGAGAGGCTACCTTAGCTTTCCTGACCTCAGTTTCCTCATCTGCAAAATGGGAATAAGAGCAGCACCTACTTCACGAGGTGTTTCCGAGTCCTAATGCCAGAACTCACTGTAAATTACTTACATTCATTGTAAGTAATGGGAACCCGGGAAGTGAGGTGGGGGGAGGTGGGATTCAGGAACCACAGAAAGCGGAGCTGGTCCCGGGTGTGACCAGCTGACCCGAGCGAGGACCCGCCCCGCGCCCCCCGCGGCAGCCCGCGCCCCCCGCGGCAGCCCGCGCCCCCCGCACCCCCGCGCTCACCGCTCTTGGGTTTAGACTCGCCGGCCGGCCCCGCGGACGCGGAGCGGGGCGGCTGTTGCCCTTTGCTGCTGCCCGAGGAGGCGGAGCTGCTGGGGCCGCTGCTCTTGTCCATGTCGGAGGCGCTGGCGGCGGCGTTGGGGGAGCTCAGCGGCATCAACGGGGGCCTCGGCGGCGGCGGCGGTCGGAGCGGAGCGGGCGCGGCGGGGACCCAGGCTCATGGCGTTCGGGGCCGGAGGGGGTCGGCGGCGGCAGCGGTTCTCGGCCTTCATGGCGACATTTTTCCCTGTTTCCTTACTCGGCTTCTCAAATTGGGAGGAGAAGCGGCGGGCGGGGCTGGGGAGCCCGGCGGCGGCAGTGACCGAGACGGCGGAGGAGGCCGGGGCTCGGAGGTCCGGGCCGGGCCTGGCGGGGCGGAGGCTGCGGGGAACGGGGAGGCGCAGGAGGGTGCGCAGGCCCCGCCGGCCGGCCGGAGACGCTCTCCCGCCGCGGGGCAGGGAGAGGGCTGGCTGTCTTGGTGCCGGGGACCGGGGTCTCCGACACAGCGACCGACACTCGCCCCTGGGCCGAGGCCGAGCTGCTCCGGCAATGGCGACGAGTCGCCAAACAGCGTCTCGAAGAACCCGGATGGAGTATATATATAGTGAATATGTGGCATGATGCACTCTGGGAAATGTAGTTTTCAGCTTTCATCCGGGTCCAATGATTTTCACCTGCGCTCACACAGTTGAGAGCATACAGGATGATGGAATTTGTAGTTCAGTTTTTAGTATTAGTACGCTAATAATGTTGCATTACTAGTATATAATAATAATATATACTACTACTTATAACCCACCCAAACATTAGAATACCTGTGTAATTACTTTACTGATCTATTAATTTATACTTATATAAGAATTAATATCAATTTATTCATGGCTTATCCTAGCTCTTAGAAATAACCATAATAGCAATAATAATGGAACAATCTTACATTTCATATGACTTTATAGCACTTTCTCATGTAAACTTTATTTCTTTGCTAATAAATCATTTATTAATGTAATTCATTGTTAACATTTCATTTCATTAATAATAGTCATCATTCAGTGTAATGCTGTACAGTTTATATAGATTATCACCACACTCCTCACAATAACTCAAATTTATAGACGAGGGAATGGGTTAAAAAAGCTTAAGTCGCCGAGACCGGTTTGGCTCAATGGATGGAGCGTCGGCTTGGGGACTGAAGGGTCCCGGGTTCGGTTCCAGTCAAGGGCATGTGCCTTGGTTGCGGGCATATCCCCGGTGGGGGGTGTGCGAGAGGCAGCTGATCGATGACTCTCTCTCATCGATGTTTCTAACTCTCTATCTCTCTCCCTTCCTCTCTGTGCAAAATCAATAAAAATATATTTAAGAAAAAAAAAAAAGCTTAAGTCAATGCCCGGCCCAAGTTGCCTAGTGGTTGAGAGTTGACCTTTGAACCAGAAGGTCATGATTTGTTTCCTGGTCAAGGCACGTGTCCAAGACTTTGGGCTTGATCCCCAGGGTGAGTGTGCAGAAGGCAGCAGATCAATCATTCTCTCTCATCATTGATGTTTCTATCTGTTTTCCCCTCTCCTTTCCTCTCTGACATCAATAAAAACATTTTAAAATAAAAAATAGTTTAGTGAGAAGCTTGTTGTCTTTATTGCTCAGAGTTGCCTATATTAACTTGAAAAGGCTTAAAACAATAAGCAAAAGCATCCCATCCCAGAGATTCCACAAAAATTCTGGTGAAACTGGATGGCAGTCAGCTCATAAAAATTCATTTGGATAAAGTACTACAGAACAATATGGAAAATGAAATCAAAACTTTTTCTGGTGTCTATAAGGAGCTCATAAACAAGGATGTTAATTTTGAATTCCCAGAGTTCCAGTTGGAAACAAAAATGACTAAATACAATATCATTCATATGAAGAAAAGAAAAGAAAAGAAAAAAGAAACTACAATGGAAAATAGTGATAAGGGGTTTAATAAAGTTAACACCAAATGCTGACTAGAGCAGAAGCTCCAAGGTGAGAAGTAAAAACAGTTGAGAGGAATAAAAGAGGACTTCCCAGAGATGGTGTCACTTGAACTGAGCATATAAGATTGAGTGAATTTCAGCAGTCAAATATTAACAAATAAATAGGTAGACAAAATTCTCGGATTCCTGTAATTGGGCCTTTTTTTGGCTTCTTATTAATCATGACATTATACAAAACATTAATGAATATATATAAGCCAATCAGTTTCTTAAAGTTATCAGTTTTAACTGGGACAAATGAAAGTAGATACTAATCTTATGTATTTTTTATATATTTTTAAATATATTTTTATTGATTTTTCACAGAAAGGAAGAGAGAGGGATAGAGAGTTAGAAACATCGATGAGAGAGAATCATCAATCAGCTGTCTCTTGCACACCCCCTACTGGGGATGTGCCCGCAACCAAGGTACATGTCCTTGCCCGGAATCGAACCTGGGACCTTTCAGTCCGCAGGTCGACGCTCTATCCACTGAGCCAAACCGGTTTCGGTGTATTTTTTATATTTTTATTGATTTCAGAAAGGAAGAGAGAGGGAGAGATAGAAACATCAATGATGAGAGAGAATCACTGACTGGATATCTCTTGCACGCACCCTACTTGGGATCGAGCCCACAACCCAGGCATGTGCCCTTGAATCAAACCTGGGACCTTTCAAGTCCACAGGCCGATGCTTCATCCACTGAGCCAAACCAGTCAGGGATAATCTTATATTTTAAAATTTCCTTAATATACCCTCCACCAGTCCTTACCTTGGTTCACCTTTTCCACTTTTTTTTTTTTTTGCCCCCACAGATCATATTTAAATGAGAGAATACCTACATAATGTTGGTTTGGAAACTTAATTTTATTTTATTTTATTTTTTATTTTTTTAATATATTTTATTAACTTTTTACAGAGAGGAAGGGAGAGGGATAGAGAGTTAGAAACATCGATGAGAGAGAATCATCAATCAGTTGCCTCCTGCACATCCCCTACTGGGGATATGCCCACAACCAAGGTACATGCCCTTGACCGGAATTGAACCCGGGACCCTTCAGTCCACAGACCGATGCTCTAACCACTGAGCCAAACCGGTTTTGGCTATAAACTTAATTTGATTTTAGAAGAAACATCCTCAAATTCTGAGGTCCATTCTCATGCATGACTACATTTGAAAGATATACTAAGATTTGCCAGAACTGGTTTGGCTCAGTGGATAGAGCATCGGTCTGTGGACTGAAGGGTCCCGGGTTCAATTCCGGTCAAGGGCATGTGCCTTGGTTGCGGTCACATCCCCAGTGGGGGGTGTGCAGGAGGCAGCTGATTGATGTTTCTCTCTCATCGATGTTTCTAACTCTCTGTCCCTCTCCCTTCCTCTTGTAAAAGAAAAATCAATAATTAATATATACATATATACATATATATAAAAGAAAAAGAAAGATATACTAAGATTCCTTGATGAATTTTTATTTCCTTTAACAAAGATATGAGAACTCTGATTACATGGATGAATCATTCCATCCATCACAAATAAAGATAAAAGAAAAGGGACGAGAAATCCCCGTGCAGTTTTTCCAAAACAAAGTGGTAGGTGTTCATCTCTCAGGCTACATTACACCAGAAAAAAAAAATTTTATGTCCAAAATAGTTTCGTAGGGTCCTTGTGAAATACTTGCAGGAAACATGCACTTAAAAAGAGAATCATACTGCCCCCATCTTCTTTTGGGCAAGATGGACTCTACTTTACCATTTTCATAAAAAGAAAAGAATGGGAAAATCTGGGTTTGAAGTAAAATACCTATGCTATGCCAGCTGGAGCTAGAAATGCAGCTGTGCCGCCTCAGGAGAGGAAGTGTGAATGGTGATTTGTTTTGACTTGCTATCATTCCCATTTCGTTCCAATCCAGCCCATTTCGTTCGTTTACTTTCCAGCGTAGTCTAGCATATGTTTCTCAAGAATGGTCTGTGAATTCCGTGCGTCAGAATCACGTGAAAAGTTTGTTCAAGTAAAGATTCCCCAAACCCATATCAGATTGCCTGGTTCAAAAATCTCTATAATTGGGGGTCTGGCAATCTGCATTGTAAAAGCTCGAGCCAGGTGATTCTTATGCATGCCACAGTTTGAGAGAATTGGCCTGCCATCTTAGCCTTTTACTACACTGCACCTCAGTTCCCCCTCTTCGTCACCAGAAAACAAGAATTATTGGGTATCTTGCGAGTTGGTACTGGTAATAGGTTGGCAAGATTCAGAGATGTGGCCGCTGAGAGGTGATCGGGGGGGGGGGGTCTCCCTAAGGTCCGCTTATTCCTGGTGACTTGTGTTCAATTTGGGGAGAGAAAGAAAAAACTTCGAGTACTCAATGACGAAGTAGACTCCGGATTCCAGAGATCATGCCTAATTCCTTAACATCAGGATTCTGGGCGCGTTCGACTAATTATGTCCCTGACCGGCCGCCGTCAGCCGCCTAGTGACGCAACGTGACGTATCGCCTGGCTTCTGTCAGCCGACTGTCAAGATGGCGGCCCCCAGCACTCGCGCTCTGTGGGGCTACTGCGGCCGGGGGTGGTCGCGGGCGATGCGGGGCTGCCGGCTCCCCGGGCTTCGTAGCTCCTGGCCAGGGAGTCCGCTGGGCGCGCGGCTCCTGTCCCAAGAGAAGCGGGCCACGGAAACGCACTTCGGGTTTGAGACTGTGTCGGAGGAGGAGAAGGGGGACAAAGGTGAGAGGGGCGAGAGGGCGGGTGGAGGGGAATGACCGCCTGCGGTCCAGCTCCCTCTCCCCAGCTAAGGGTTGATTTAACGTGGAGTTCTGTTAGCTCCGGTGCTGTAGTCCCGAGCCTGACTCTTCAGAGCTTCCACGCCTCCTCTTTAAAGCGGAGCAATTATCGGAAAATCCCATCAATCTGGCGTTTATAATGTGCCAGGCACCGGGCAGACTTGGTGGTGGTGGGTGTTGTTTTCCCCACGTGACCCATGAGGACTCTGAGACTTACAGGTTAACCAAGAACTTGGCTAGTTGAACATAGGAAGTGGTGGAACCATTACTCCAATTCAGTTTGGTCTGACTACAGAGCCACGTTCTTAACCTCTTGATAATAGAGTAGGTGTGTTGTTGTTTTTTTGATAGAAAAGAAAAAGGAAAGTATTTTCTCTGCACTTCAGATTCCAAATTTGCCAAGTAGGAACAATAGTAACACTTCTCTTAGAGTTCTTGTGAGAATTAGATTACTTGACACATGAAAATTATTTTGAACAATGCCTGACACTGCTTAATTGTTCAACAAATATTAGATATTACTGAGCAGTTTCTTAGCACGGAGACACAGGCCTGGGAAAGGAAAAGAGCAGTTTTTAAACTCCCGCTAACCATTTGCAGTGGCTGTGGTGTTATGCCCATTTTACTGATGGATAGGTCAGGCTCCCAGAGGTCCTTCCCTTAGCCTATGGTCACCCAGGAAACAAGAAAAAGCTTACAGTGCAATTTACCACCCTCTGGAAGGCTGCCAGAGTGCATTATTCACCTCCAGCTTTCCAAGTGTTTCGGTGTACTGTAACTCTTTGAATATTTTATTTAAATTTATTTCATTGTGAATCCCCAGAAAGCTAAGGAACAGTGGCTCATTCATGTTTATATCCTCAGTGCCTGATGTACATTAGAAGTTTTATAACTGCACGTGGAGTGAAATAAGTGGAGCCAAGTTGAACAATAGTAAACATTTATTGAGAGCCTAAAACCTCTTACGGTACTTTACATTAATTTTTATAAATACAACCCAATGGTTTTATAGATGAAGAAACTGTTGAAACAGAAATATTAAGTCACTTGCCCGAGATTCCCTAATAAGCTACAGAGCTGGCATTTTAATCAGGTGGGTTGCTTCCAAAATGTTAATAATATCTAACGTCTGTATTTTGCCTTACATTATATAAACATTTCACACAATGAGAAGCAGGGAGCGGAATTACCCACTGAGCTAAATACAGCTTCCAGATTTAAGACTCAAGATAGAATTACAGGCAGGATGGTAACAATGACTGTGCAAGCTGAAATCATGCACAGTGATCTTAATAGCCAATGGGATTATAATTATTACATGGACTTTAAAAATTATTGAACATCCAAAACTCTTGTCAGTTATAAATGTATAGGGAAATTGAAAGATGTTAAAGTTAATATTTTTCTTTTTAAAAAATATATTTTATTGATTTTTTTACAGAGAGAAAGAGAGAGGGATAGAGAGTTAGAAACATCAGCTGCCTCTTGCACACCCCCCACTGGGGATGTGCGCGCAACCAAGGTACATGCCCCTGACCAGAATCGAAACCGGGACCTTTCAGTCCGCAGGCCAACACTCTATCCACTGAGCCAAACCAGTTTTGGCCTAAAGTTAATATTTCTTTAGCATAATTTATAAATTATCTTAGGCTTAATTTTTTAAATTTATTTTTAAAATAAATAAAATAAATAAAATTTTATTTTATTTATTTTTTTAAATCAATCTTTATTGTTCATATTATTACAAAGGTTCCTCATTTCTTACCCCTTCCACCAGGTTTCCACCCCGCCCTCCACCCCCTCCCCACCCCCCATTGTCCTCATCCATAGGTGCACAGTTTATGTTCAGTCTCTTCCTCCCTCCCTTTCCTGGAGAACAGTCAGTCCACTCCCCTCCCATAAATGGACACATTGTATAAACATAGCTACTGGTTGGAATTGGATTACCTGTTCTGGGTGGGAAGGGCTTGTCATTCCCTTTAAAATTAAGGTGTTAGCTTTAAAACCTCTTTTTGGCAAGAGACCTTAAACTTTCAGAACTTTAAATTTTTCAGATAGTAAATCAGTTACTAAGCATTTTCTCAAATCAATAATACCTCCACATGCCCAAGGATACACTTCACACAAAAGATATTTCCATATAGATCAACCAACCTCTTCCAGGCCCCACACAAGGCACTCACAGATCAACACCCCAGCGCTATACTGATTTAACACATCCAGATCTAAGCCTTCCTCATTTGATTCAGCAGACCCTCAAGTTCCCCTAAAAGTTTCCAGCCAAGTCTGAGAGGAGCCTTGGGGCGGAGGCAGGCGAGGAGCGAGCTGTTCCGGGCCTGGCTGCTCAGGGCCTGGCCTCTGTTACTCTGTTCCATTCCATAACCAGCTGCTCCAGGTCTGGCCACTGCCACTCCCAACCTGGCTGCTCCGGGCGTGGCTGATCCCAGCCTGGCCGCTCTGGGCCTGGCCGCTCTGGGCCTGGCTGCTGCTGTTCCGGGCCTGGCCGCACCCGACCCGGCTGCTCTGGGCCCGGCTGCTCTGGGTCCGGCCATTAGGCTTAATTTTTAATTCAATTAATAGAATGATTAAATTTCAGTTTAAATTCTTTAATTAAAATTCTAATAAGAAATTAGAAACATTGAGAATTAAGTGCTGGGCTCCTCACACGGGCACCACTTTGCCGGGGCTGACCAGCAGCCCCTGACGGATGAACAGCTCACTCTGACAGCTTCCCTGTGAGAGAGGACTAAGGGGTTTCTGGCTCAAGGGACCAAGCAGTCTTGATGGCCTGCCTCCTTAGGCTTTTATTGGACCAGCAGTTTGAGATAAAGTTTATCTTTTAGATACAATCAGCGGGTGAATAATCCTAGGAGCACACATGTTTACATTTTCCTCTAGGCTAGGGCATCCAGGGATTAAGCATAAGCATCCTGTAAACACCCGGGGTCTGCGGGTACACAGACTTGTTTGGGAAGGTCAAGGAATAATTAGGGGCGCCGCCTTCGACACTCCCCTAAGTCTCCCCTAAGTCAGAATTCCGATAAACAGGGCAGGCGGCCTTCCACACACTTCCCTTTTCTCAGAGTGTCCTCCTTACACATTTTCCAGTCAAGTCTCATGCTCCCCAACCAGTAAGTGGTTTTATTCCTTTGTAAAAAAAGTTACCAATATTTTGAACAGTGTTTGCTATCTTCTCAGCATTTAATTTACAGTAGGAGTGAGCATCTTCTCTATGCCTTGGCAAACTGCCATACTCCTTCCAAAGTTCCAATCAGTTTCTAACATTTTCTCCTTTCACTTTCTTTTTTTTAATATATTTTCTTATTGATATCAGAGAGGAAGGAAGAGGGAGAGAGAGACAGAAACATCAATGATGAGAGAGAATCATTGACTGGCTGCCTCCTGGGATTGAGCCCACAACCCAGGCACATGCCCTTGACTGGAATCGAACCCTGGACCCTTAAGTCCGGATGCTCTTTCCACTGAGCCAAATCAGCTAGGGCTTATCCTTTCACTTTCTTTTTTTTTTTTTTAATTAAAAAATATATTTTATTGATTTTACACAGAGAGGAATTGAGAGGGAGAGAGAGTTAGAAATGTCGATGAGAGAGAAACATCAACCAGCTGCCTCTTGCACACCCCCTACTGGGGATATGCCCGCAACCAAGGTACATGCCCTTGACCGGAATCGAACCTGAGACCCTTCAGTCCGCAGGCCGACACTCTATCCACTGAGCCAAACCGGTCCCGGCTATCCTTTCACTTTCAATGTCATGAATTATCTCCAAGAATTCCTTTAATGTGAACTTTTTTGCTGGCATCGTTTCCTCTGGGGCATCCTCAGCGTTTTCATCACAACCTCATCCTCATTTATGTCAGTGAGTCCATCTCACAGAGATCTGCTGCATCTGGAGGCTCTTGAATGACAGCAGTGTCACATTCCACAGTCAGCCGTTTCTCCTACAACTCCACTGACATCTATTTCTTTTTTTAAAAAAATATATTTTTATTAATTTTTTACACAGAGGAAGAGAGAGCTGAGCCAAACCGGTTTCGGCCATTGACATCTATTTAAATGTCACTTTCACCATTATCAACTTTTTGTTCTTTGCTGCACTTTCATTTTTGTTGGCAAATTTCCTCTTAATTATCCAGTTTTGTAAAATGCCACGTTTTCAACAGAGATAAGGGGGTAACACAACTACATGCTTCGCTGTCTGTGTGCGAACTGAACAAGTGATGTATAGTGACCCACCACTTAACAAACCATGGAAGAAGTTACATGAATGGTTATCTGTCGTGATGCATATTTGTGATTTATATAGTAATTTGTGGACTAAAGAAGTATTAGTGCCGAAACCGGTTTGGCTCAGTGGATAGAGCATCAGCCTGTGGACTGAAAGGTCCCAGGTTCGATTCCGGTCTAAAGCATGTACCTTGATTGCGGGCACGTCCCCAGTGGGGGATGTGCAAGAGGCAGCTGATAGATGTCTCTCTCTCATATCGATGTTTCTAACTAACTCTCTCTCTTCCTCTCTGTAAAAAATCAATAAAATATATTTTTTAAAAGTTTAAAATAAATAAATAAATTTTAAAAATCAATAAAAAATATTTTTAAAAAAGAGGTATTAGTGAACTTTACACTTTATGCAGTTACACTTAGTATGCCGTTGTATTTTTTTTTAATATATTTTATTGATTTTTTTTTTTTTTTTTTTTTTTTACAAAGAGGCAAGGAGGGGATAGAGAGTTAGAAACATCGATGAGAGAAAATCACCGATCAGCTGCCTCTTGCACACCTCCCACTGGAGATGTGCCCGCAACCCAGGTACATGCCCCTGACCAGAATCGAAACTGGGACTTTTCAGTCCTCAGGCTGACGCTCTATCCACTGAGCCAAACCGGTTTCGGCTGTATTTTTAAAATATTATGGGGGGACTGGTATTATTTAACTAAACCATAGTAACTGGAATTCATGCATTTTAGAACCATGCAAAGCTAGGGGTGGTTATACACAGTGGTTTGAGCCTGTGTTGCTCAGCTCCTCAAAAGATGTTCAGAAGGAAAAAGCCTAGCTAGTTTAGCTCAGTGGATAGAGTATTGGCCTGAGACTGAAGGGTCCCAGATTCAATTCGAATCAAGGGCACTTACCTTGATTACAGGTTCCCTGCTCCTGGTTGGGGTGCTTGCAGGAGGCAACCAGTTGGTGTGTCTCTCTCATCCCAATGTTTCTCTCTATTCTTCTCTCTCCCTTCCACTTTCTCTAATAATCAATGGGAAAATATCCTCAAGTTAGGATTACCAAAAAAAAAAAAAAAAAAAAGGAAAAAGCAGACTTGGAGATCCCAGTGTTGAGAATGGGCATTCAAGATTGAGTTGAGGAGGAATTCCGTGGTCGCTGATTCAGCAGAGGACAGTTATGTTTTGGATCTATGTGGTACATCTCATCCGAAAAACTCAAAGAATCTCCCCTTCACTATCTAGTTCAGCCTATGGCAGGGAGGCAGGGAGGGGCTGGCACTGGTTTTCTCATCTTGTGGGCAGAGGAACTGAGGGGCAGAGAAGTTAAATGTAGCCTGTCTCTTAAAGTAAACTCTTTCCAGCTAGCCCAGATTCCACATTTGGCTTGACCCTATGGAGATGATTCATTCACGAGAACCCTCTACAATGTAACGCAACCCTGATTCACATCTTGCCATCCACCTGCCCCTCAAACTGAGTTTTTTCTTGGTGATACAGGCTGAGATGACCTGAGGCTTTCCTTTCCATTAGCCATGTGTCTTTCTAATGGATTTTGTTGTCTCTTATTATAATAACCATTAGAAAGAATTCCACCATTACCCCTATTCTCTAAGAAATAGAAATCTATTTAGTACCACATATATATATGGCATGATTACAAAGTAATGGTCAAAAAGATTACTAAGACAGTAGAAAAGAGGTTGATTTTTTATTTTATTTTTTAAAAATATATTTTATTGATTTTTTACAGAGAAGAAGGGAGAGGAATAGAGAGTTAGAAACATCAATGAAAGAGAGAAACACCGATCAGCTGCCTCCTGCACACCCCCTACTGGGGATGTGCCCACAACCAAGGTACATGCCCTTGACCGGAATCGAACCTGGGACCCTTCAGTCCACAGGCCTTTTTGATTTTTGATTTTTTAAATGAAGAAATATAGACCTTTTTAAGAAGAGGTAATGTTGAGCATCATGGCTTAGGTTCGCCCTGGAAAGGCAGGCAGTTCCAGGGGGCGAAGCTATCTTCTCTCTCTTTTAGGACTTTTCCAAGCTAATCTCGTCAGTAGCACATCATGTTGTGTTTCCCACGTCAGTTTACCAGGTGTTTGAAAGTGTGGCCAAGAAGTATGACGTGATGAATGACATGATGAGTCTTGGCATCCATCGTGTCTGGAAGGACGTGCTGCTCTGGAGAATGCACCCGTTTCCTGGGACCCAGCTCCTCGATGTAGCCGGAGGCACAGGTACTGTCAGTGTCCGTCTCCCAGGCTCCACCGCGCCTTCTGCGCGATCAGCGTCTCCTGTTGGAATGAGCTGCCTCGCCTCCCATTGGCCTGAAGATGGTGGTTGAAAATCAACATGCTTCTGGGAAAGGTGTACTCTTTTTTTTTTTTTTTTTTTAAATATATTTTATTGATTTTTTTTTTACAGAGAGGAAGGGAGAGAGAGAGAGAGATAGAAACATCGATGAGAGAGAAACATCAATCAGCTGCCTCCTGCACACTCCCCACCGGGGATGTGCCCACAACCAAGGCACATGCCCTCAACCAGAAGCAAACCTGGGACTTCTCAGTCTGCAGGCTGGTGCTCTATCCACTGAGCCAAACTGGTTTCGGCTACTCCTTTTTTTTTTTTTTTTAAACTCAACGTCAATCAAAGGCACAGAATGTCAGCTTTGTGCCTGTCACTTTTCTAAAATGCACAGATTACAGAGTGAAAAGACCAGTTTTTCACTCCAGTGATATTTTACCATCTAAATGACTTACCATCTTTCCATCTTTCTCAGGTTGGGGAGGATGCCTTTATCATATTATATAAGCTTTCAAGGCAGCTTCTCCTGCTTAATCCATTATCATGCCAGATATCAGCAGCGCATTGGTGTATGCATGCTCCTTTGGTGCACCCTAGACATTAGGGGAAAATATCATGGGTTTCTAAAATGCCTTATGTGATATCATTACATGGCTAATGTGCATGTTAAATGTACATTACAATGTATGATATAATGCAGTAGTGTTATTGTACCAACAGAAAATGTTTAATAAATTATAGTAGAATAACCTCCATGTTTGAAACAAACGTGGCTTTGTTTGTTTTTTTTTGTTTTTGTTTTTTTTTTTTTCAAACGTGGCTTTGTTGACATGGTCCTCTCCCCAAATAAATCTTAGAAGGCAGAAAAAAAACCCTGCTCCGTGGAGGACAGACAATTTAGCAGTGTAACAGTTTATCGTAGGATCCCACAGTTACAATTCTAAAAAAATGGCACAAAGATAAAGTTCAGAAGGGGTTCAGTGGGAGCTGCCTACATCTCCAGTGTACCATGACCAGTAGAATCACTTCATGCTGACAGCTGCCCATTTAGAAAATGTAATTAAAAGGAGTTCCCATATGTTTAAAAAGACATTTAAGAAGATATAGCTAGCCCTAGCCAGTTTGGATCAATGGATAGAGCATCAGCCCGAGGACTGAAGCGTCCTGGGTTCTTTTCCAGTCAAGGGCATGTGCCTCTGTTGCAAGCTCAATCCCCACCCTGATGAGGCCGTATGTGGGAGTCATCCAATCAGTGTGTCTCTCTCATATCGGTGTTTCTCTGTCTTCCCCCTTCCTTCCACTCTCTAAAAATCAATGGAAAAATATCCTTGGGTGAGGATTAACGAAAACAAACAACCAAGACATAACTATAAATATGCTCACTGCATCATTTTTTGTAATACTAAAAAAATTTTTTGAAATAACCAATTTATCCCTCAATAAAGCAACTGCTTTAGCCCTAGCTGTTTTGGCTCAGTGGATAGAGCGTCAGTCTGTGGACTGAAGGGTCCGGGTTTGATTCCAATCAAGGGCACATGCCTAGGTTGCGGGTTTGAATCCCTAGTGGGGCTGTGCAGGAGGCAGCCTATCATTGATTCTCTCTCATCATTGATGTTTCTCTCCCTCCCTCTCTCTTCTCTGAAATCTCTAAAAATATATATATATTTTTAAACACTTTGATTTTTAGCTTTTAGACTCACCACCAACATAGGGCAGAAAGCTTAATTATAGCTATAAGACAAATAAAATGTCACCAGTTTTGCCGAAACCGGTTTGGCTCAATGGATAGAGCGTCGGCTTGGGGACTGAAAGGTCCCAGGTTCGATTCCGGTCAAGGGCATGTACCTTGGTTGCGGGCATACCCCCAGTAGGGGGTGTGCAAGAGGCAGCTGGTCGATGACTCTCTCTCATCGATGTTTCTAACTCTCTATCTCTCTCCCTTCCTCGCTGTACAAAATCAATAAATAATATTTTTAAAAAAAAAAAATGTCACCAGTTTTGACAGAGTAAAAGTATATAGGAATGAAGATTGAAGGGAGCCAAGAGATACTGTCTGTAGTTGATGGAATAAGAAATCAACTATTGATTAGTTTATTATGCTCAGTTACCCAGGTATTATGAGGAATTGTGAAAAGTGATATTGAGCAGAGGCAAGCAGAAATGGGGAACAGGATATCATAAATTTGGTAAGGAAAGAAATAGCTGTAACGTACAGCTGTAACGTAGAAGAAACAGCTAAAAGAGTTGGGAAAGATGGTCTCTGGAGAACTGAACTGGAAGAGAGATGGTGATGGGAAAGGGAATTATTGCTTGTAACTAGGTTATTTCCATAAACACTATTAGAAAAAGAGTAGAAGGCTGTACACTAAACTCTGAATACTTGTAATGTTTGGAAACGGTATGGACAGAGAATGCAGTGTTCATGTTTTATTCTATCAATAAAAATTGAGATAGTGAGTCTTTTATAGTAAGAATATGTTCATAAAAGAAAAGAATATGTCCATTCATTATTTATGCAATTTTTAAATAAAGTTTTCTAAAGAATATTAGGAGTAAAAAAATAGCAGTTACTGTGGGGATGAGAACAAACTTCATTTTCGTACGTTCCTCAGCTCCTGTAGCTTGTTGTCGCTTTGGAGTTCGGAAATGCTGGGCTTGTTTTTATGTTTCCATCTTTCCTCCCTGGCTTCCCACAGGTGACATTGCCTTCCGGTTCCTTAATTACATCCAGGCCCAGCATCGGAGAAAGCAGAAGAGGCAGTTAAGGACCCAGCAAAATTTATCCTGGGAAGAAATTGCCCAAAAGTACCAGAATGAAGAGGATACCTTGAACGGTTCCCATGTCGTGATCTGTGACATCAACAAGGAGATGCTGAAGATTGGAAAGAAGAAAGCCTATGCCCAAGGATACAAAACTGGCAAGTCCTACAGAAAGTGCGCAGAGGAAATGCTTATTCTATATAATAATCCTATATAATAAAAGGGTAATATGCAAATTGACCAAACAGCTGAACAACTGGTTGCTATGATGTGCACTAACCACCAGGCGGCAGATCCTCAACACAGGAGCTGCCTTCTGGTGGTCAATGTGCTCCCACAGGGGAGCGCTGCTCAGCCACAAGCTGGGTTGACAGCTGGTGAGCACAGCAGCTGTGGCAGCACTAAGCCACCAGTCAGACTTCCCCCAGGGCTCCTTGACTGCTAAAGGGCGCAGGTCAGGCTGAGGGACCCCCTTTCCTACCCCTGAGTGCACGAATGTCATGCACCAGGCCTTTAATATGTTTATAAAATAAGATGCAATGGGGGAAATGCTGAAGTGCTTTATTTTTCTGCTTTAGAAAACATGGCTATGTAGAAGTTGAAGGTAATCTGTGGGGGTGGATCCAGTTTGTGCGGTTTTATGCACATTATTTCAGCAGCCTAGAGAGTTAGGTTATCAGCCCTATGTGACGGGAGCTGACTGAGCCCAAAAGGGTTACGTATCTTACCCAAGTAACAACTTAAATGGCAGATCTCCCACTGGAGCGGAGGCTTCTGATCTCAGCTCCTGGACCCTGAGACAGAAGTTTTGCTTTCAATTCCCAGCAGCTCCCCATAACCCCAAATGTCCTATTCTTGAGCTACTCTGCTTCCCTGTTAGCTCTAGGATGGTTCGATGTGGAAGTCGAGAAGGTGCACTGCTCTTAAAAAGGGGGCTTTGCCTTCGGCCACGGGAGTGTAGTTAGCTGCCAGCCTCCAGCTCAGCACCTGCAGGCTCCGCTCGCTTGCCAGCCAGGCAGCACCAGCTGGTGGCTGAGCACTGGGAGGCTGCGGGGGCCCGGACAGTTCCGAGGCTGGACTCAGCAGGCAGGCTTTGTTCCAGGGCCCCCTGTCGGTAGGCTGAGGCTTGGGGTCTAACAGGTTTCCCCATCCAGTCTTGCTTCCTCTTCCTTTCATCTCTTTTATCTTTCCCAGGTGCCTCCCCCCAAAGAAATAAAAAAACCTTTTCACTTCATCTCAGCATCAGTTTCTCAGAAGGCCCAACGGATACAGTGAGGAAGCACCTGTAAACAGTACAGCAGGACCTAAAATAAAATTTTTAAAAATATTTCTTTATTGATTTCATAAAGGGATGGAGGGAGAGAAAGAGAGAAACATCAATGATGAGAGAGAATCACTGATAGGCTGCCTCCTGCACACCCCCCACTGGGGATCAAGCCCAAAACGTAGGCATGTGCCTTCACCAGGAATCGACCCGTGACCTCCTGGTTCATAAGTTAATGCTCAACCACTGAGCTATGCTGGCTGGGCTAAAATTAAAAAAAAAATTTGGTTCAATGTTTTTGTTATAAGAATGATGAGGAAAAAAAAGTTTGATTACTGGCCAGGACCACCATCTGTGTAGAATTGGCATGTTCTCCCCATGTCTGTGTGTTTTCTCCAGGTACTCCAGTTTCCTCCCACACCCCAAAGCTGTGCACTGAGGTAAACTGGCCTGTAATAAATGGTCCCAGTCTGAGTGAGAAAGGGTGTATGAGTGTGCCTGTGATGGAAGGGTGTCCTGCCCAGGGTCAGTTTCTTTCTTTCTTTTTCTTTTTTTCTTTTTTTTAAAATATACTTTATTGATTTTTAAAAATAATATATATTTTATTGATTTTTTTACCGAGAGGAAGAGAGAGGGAGAGAGAGCCAGAAACATCGATGAGAGAGGATCATCGATCAGCTGCCTCCTGCACACCCCCCCACTGGGGATGTGCCTGCAATCAAGGTACTTGCCCCTGACCAGAATCGAACCTGGGACCATTCAGTCCACAGGCCGATGCTCTATCCACCGAGCCAAACGGTCCCGGCTTTATTGATTTTTTACAGAGAGAAAGGGAAAGGAGGAAGAGTTAGAAACATTGATGAGAGAGAAACATCAATCAGCTGCCTCCTGCACACCCCCCACTGAGGATGTGCCCGCAACTGAGGGACCTGCCCTTGATGGGAATCGAACCTGGGACCCTTGAGTCCGCAGGCCAATGCTCTATCAACTGAGCCAAACCGCTTAGGGCCCCAAGGTCAGTTTCACCTTTCTACCTGAGCTCCCCGGACAGGCTCCGGCCACTTGTGGTCCAAAACTGGAATAATTAAGTTGGAAAATCATTATCTGATTTGTTTCTACTAATCTTTCTTACATTTATCTATAGCTCACATTTATTTCATTGTTCAATATTAAAATGGTTTTGAATCTTTCTGTAGAAGTCGGGTGATGTTTTTGTGGCCAGAAAGGTGCCGTAAGGACTTACCTCTCCTATCAGTTGGCCTGTGGACAGACTGGTTTTCGTTATCCATCGCTTCCCTTGAAGTCATGGTTTCCAAGAACCTTTCGGCAATGTTAGTGAGCACGGACTGCACCCCTAAGCCACAGACTCTGTAGCAGCTAGGAGACTCTTAGCTCCGGGAAGCCACCATAACCACAAAACGGGCAATTTGTGGCCTTGCTTAAAGATGTACACTTCAGCTCTAACTGGTTTGTCTCAGTGGATAGAACGTCAGCCTGTGGACTGAAGAGTCCCAGGTTCGATTCTGGTCAAGGGCACATGCCTAGGTTGCAGGCTCAATCCCAGTGCGGGGCATACGGGAGGCAGCCGATCAATGATTCTCATCATTGATGTTTCTATCTCTCTCTCCCTCTCCCTCTCCCTTCCTCTCTGAAATCAATAAATATATATTTTTTAAAAAGATGTACACTTTAGCCGAAGCCGTTTGGCTCAGTGGTAGAGCGTCGGTCTGCGGACTGAAAGGTCGCGGGTTCGATTCCAGTCAAGGGCATGTACATTGGTTGCAGGCACATCCCCGGTAGGGGTTGTGCAAGAGGCAGCTGGTCGATGTTTCTCTATCGACATTTCTAGCTCCCTATCTCTCTCCCTTCCTCTCTGTAAAAAATCAATAAAAAATATATTAAAAAAAAAAAAAAAAGATGGTACACTTTAAAAGCATTTATCTCAGTCAGTCTGTTCAGAAAAAAAAAAAAAAAAGATGTACATTTTACATTTGGCTTTCTGTTTGTTTTGATATTTTGAAGTACTTTTTCCCCACAATTTTTTCAAGTAGAAGTAGTGATCCTGCAGCCCTAACCGGTCTGGCTCAGTGGATAGAGCGTTGGCCTGCAGACTGAAGGGTCCCAGGTTCGATTCCGGTCAAGGGCATGTACCTTGGTTGCAGGCACATCCCCAGCAGGAGGCAGCTGATGTTTCTCTCTCATAGATGTTTTTAGCTCTCTATCCCTCTCCCTTCCTCTCTGTAAAAAATCAATAAGATATATTAAATAAAAATAAAAAGAAGAAGTAGTGATCCTTTAGCTGCACTGCGTTTACCGAGCTTTCCAGAGCCGCCGCTCTGCCCTCTCCCATGCTGGAGGCTCGGCAGGCAGCACTGTGCGAGGTGGGTGAGCACCAGAGAAAGCCGAGTCCCTCAGGCCATCAGCACTTTCTCCTTCCCACCCCGCACGGAGTGCTGTGGTTATCTTAGCTCAACTCTCCTCCTCCCCCTCAGAACAGCCGCCTACACCAGGGCAGCCCCCTGGGCCCCAAGATGAAGGGCTCTTTTGTCGGCCATCAGCACTGACCGGAGGCAGACAGTCCCAGTGTTTCCAGACAAAGGCACTGTGTTTCCTTACTCCTGCTGGAAACGTGTCTCCTTTCTCTCTGGCGCTCAGCCATACAGAACGGCAACAAAGACAGAAATGATAAGTAATGTTCCTTTTCTGGAATCATCTCTTCTGTAACATAGCTTGCCCTTCAGGCTCTCCCAACTGCCAGGACTAATCGACCTGCATAGGAGCATTAAATGCTGGATAGTACAATTGTCTTATTGTTATTGTTAATTCTCAACTGGGTATTTTTTCCATTAATTTTTTTTTAGAGAGAATGGAAGGAAGGGGGAGAGACAGAGAGAAACATCAATGTGAGAAAGATGTATCGATTGGTTGCCTCCCACACGTACCCTAACTGGGCTGGGGATCCAGCCTGTAACCAAGGTATATGCGCCTGACCCGAATCGAACCTGAAACCCTTCCATTCTCAGGCCACAACTCCATTTACTGAGCCAAGAAATATATTTTTATTTTGTACAGAGAGGAAGTGAGAGGGATAGAGATTAGAAACATCGATCAGCGGCCTCCTGCACACCCCCTGCCAATATTCCCCTACTGGGGATGTGCCTGCAACCAAGGTATATGCTCTTGACTGGAATCGAACCTGGGACCTTTCAGTCTGCAGACCGATGCTCTATCCACTGAACCAAACCAACTAGGGCCAGAAAGACTAGTTTCATTTGCCTTCCTCTGTAGAGCATTCCTTTTATGTCATATATTATGTCTAATTCACTGCATATTGAATCATGTTCACGCTGCATCAGGATCCTTAGAGGACATAGCTTCTCTGCTATTGGGATCCCGTAGGTAATTTCTGAATTCGTGACCAGACACTGATTGGCTAAGACTCTGATAGAATCAATATAACAATGCTAAATTCTGTACTTAGAGTACTTCCAGTGACCCTCTGAGGTAGATATTATTGTTAACTCCGTTTTATAGATGAGGAAACTGAGGCAGAGTAGTTTTCTGAAGATCATACAGCTAATAAATGATGAGGCTTATCCAGCCAATGTGGCTCAGTGATTGAGCATCAAACCTATGAACCAAGTCACGGTTTAATTCCTGGGCAGGGCACATGCCTGGGTTTCAGGCTTGATCCCCAGTAGTGGGCGTGCAGGAGGCAGCTGATAAATGATTGTCTCTCATCACTGATGTTTCTGTCTTCTTCCTCTCTGAAATCAATAAGAATATATTTAAATAAATGGTGAAGCTGGAATTAGAACATAGGCAGTCTAACCCCAGGATCTGGGCTCCTAACCACAGTACACTATACAAAACACTTAGCCAAGTAAGAACTGCTTGACGGTGTCAGGTTTCACTTGGGATCCTGGGCGAAGGACTTTTCCTAAACTTCAAGGACACCAGCTTCAGCTTCTCAGGATTAGAGGTCACCCATGAAGAGGTCACCCAGGAATCCAAGGGTGTGCGATGTTTTCTGACACCAAATGTGATGTCTGCTCATCACCAAACAGTTCTCCATTCTTCCACACCAAAGTAGGTGTCTGACAGTTCAGTTCAGTTCTGACTCGTAACTACAAGAGTCAGCACCAGACTCAGCATGTTTAAGGGCTCAGCCTCACAAAACTGCCCCCACTTCAGAAGCCACAAGCGGGTGTCCAGGCTGTCCAGCTTCTGCCTGGAGGGTTCCCAGGCCGCCGCCTCAGGGTTGGCAATTCCCTGGGTGCAGGAGAGACAGCTACCAGACTAAGACGAAAACTCATTTTCTCTTTCAGGGCTTGCTTGGGTGTTGGGAGATGCTGAAGAACTGCCCTTTGATGAAGACAAGTTTGATGTTTACACCATTGCCTTTGGGATCCGGAACGTCACACACATGGACCGGGTACGAATGGCTGCATCTCGGGATATTGGTTCTGGTGTGGCTCCTCGGTGAATGAAGAGGGATGAGACATTCTTTCCTGGGCTCGGATCTTGAGTGGAATGACCGTTGCAGAGTCAGGGGCCTCCATCCTTTAAGTTGCCAATATTCCTACTCAAAATTTGTAAGGACCAAGTAGAGCAGATGCCAGAGAAGCCTTTGTTGCTTGGATTGGTATTTCTTTCTTTGAGACTGTCAGTCTTGCTCTGAGGTTTCATTCGTTTCCTCTCACTTGTGAAGCCATCTGACCCTGAGAGTTTGCAGAAGCTTAGCGGCATTTCTGAGGTTGACACAGAAACAAGCACTCAAACACTATTTTGGCAGAAGGTAGCTGTAGACTCATGGATCCTCTATAGAGAGAAAGGAATGTGCAGAGAGAAGGGAATGTAAAATTGCTTAATCAGATGCAACTCTTTATTTCTACTTTAGCATTTGAAGACAATGTACAAGGCATCAGTTTCGGTTCAGTAATATGGGCTCCAGTTACCTGACTCTTCTGCTTTGGCTGAGACACCCTTTATGGTGGTCTTTAGCTTTTTAGCTTGGTTTTTGTAACCTGTCTGTGTCTGTAGTCAGTTTATTATTTCTTTTCATTGAAAAGAAGTGGAATAGTCCTAGCTGATTTGGCTCAGTAGATAGAGTGTCAGCCTGTGGACTAAAGGGTCCCAGGTTCGATTCTAGTCAAGAGCACATGCTTGGGGTTGTGGTCTTGATCTCCAGTAGGGGGGGTGCCGGAGGCAGCCGATTGATGATTCATCATTGATGTTTCTGTCTCTCTTCCTCTCTGGAATATATCTATATCTATATCTATATCTATATCTATATCTATATCTATATCTATGATATATCTTGATATATCTTGGAGATTTTTCCATGTCAGTACATAAAGAACATGGCACTTCCTTTTTCCGATAGCTGCATGGATTCCATTTGCATAGAAATTCCATCATTTAACCAGTCTCATTAATGGTTAAGATGCTTCTAATCTTGTGCTGTTCAAATAGTGCTGCATGTCATTTCCATAGTAGAAGCATTTCTATGAGATAGATTCATTAATGTAAAATTGCTTGATCAAAGAGAATATGCATTGTGATTTTGATAACCAAAAATTGCCCTTGGTGGGGGTTGTACCAATCTGAGTTTGTATAAATCAAGTAAGCTCTTTTATATATACACTAGAGGCCCAATGCACAGATTTGTGCATGGGTGGGGTTCCTCGGCCTGGCTGACAATTGGGGCTAAGGGGGTGGGGGGACCACAGAGGTTGGCCCAAACAGGAAGTTGGCTGTGGGAGCGCACTGACCACCAGGGGGCAGCTCCTACGTTGAGCATCTGCCCCTTGGTAGTTAGCGCCCATCATAGCAACAGGTCAACTGGTTGTTCAGTCATTCAGTAGCTTAGGATTTTATATATAGAGAGAGAGATGTTTTATATCTATATATATATGTGTGTGTGTGTCTGTGTGTGTGTGTGTGTGTGTGTGTGTGTGTGTGTATGTATATGTATATATATGTGTATGTATGTATGTATTAGTTCCAGGTGCACAGGTTTGTGCACACTGAAAGGAAATTAATTAGGAGAAATATTTTAATATCATTATTCATCCTTTCTCTATAATAGAAGTGTCAACCAAATTCACAATTGACAGTGATGGATCAAAACACACGCATGCAATTGGCACCAGCGAGAGCTTTATATGTATCATGCATGCATGAGTCAACTTAGCCTTTTATAGATATAGAATAAATTTGCTAAATTAGACCTGCTTTCTGATGTAGCTAAACTTTTCCAGCACAGTGAAGCACCTCAACTTCTCTTTAATGTAATTGTCAGCAACACAGCAATAAATAGCAACAGGAAGCAGATTATTATTGTAGATCACACAGGGAGAACAAATGGTAAAATATTTAACTGCAGCAGTGTTTGACTATATTCTAAAGTCATTTTCAAAGTCCATCATCTCTTACTTCTTTTCAGTCGGGTCAAGTTTCTAAGCTTTCTAAATCTCTGTTTTCTGGCTAATGAAAAGAAAATTCCACTGAGTCTCTATCTACCTACTCCAGGACTTCTGTGAGGATCAAATGAGATGAGGCACGGGAAAATGCTTCACAGACATTAGGTTACAGTGTGGAATGTTTGCACCTGGCTATAAAGCAAGTGGTGTTCTTGGGCTGAAGAAACTCCAAGGAGGCTAGTGGCTAGGGAGAGGAAGCTGGGCGTTGCTATGTGACATCATTACTCAGTGCTCGCCGCAATGGGCTGTGGGCTGCATTTTGCGCCATGGGGTCTTAGCAGGGTCGGCTGCAATTTGGTGGGCTGTCACTCTGGGCTGGTGGCAGGGCCTGTGTCCCATTTGGGAAAAGCCGAGTGTTGCTTTGTGGGCATCAGGTCCTTGGTGCCATCTCTTTGTAAATGGCCAGTGTGGGTCACAGCAGCTCCTGGTGGTCAGTGTGCATCATAGCGACCAGTCAGGGGGACACTTAACATATTGGCCTTTTATATATATAGATATTTTATTGATTTCAGAGAGGAAGGGAGAGGGAGAGAGAGAAACATTAATGATGAGAGAGAATCAAGCCTGCAACCAGGGCATGTGCCCTTAACCGGAATCAAACCCGGGACCCTTCAGTCCACAGATTAATACTCTGTCCATTAAGCCACACCAGCTAGGGCTCAAGTAATCTCTTCATGAGCAACAGAAACCTATAAAATATAGGGTGTTATAGGGTTATTTCTGCTGTTACATCTTCTCAACTGAGAATGAACAAAGGATCAGTGGGACATAACTTGTCATGTCCACAGAAGCTAAAGCTGCCTGGGCCTCCTGGGACTGAGTGAGTCTGCTGAGGAATGTGTCCTTCTGTTCCTTTTCTCACTCAGGCGCTCCAGGAAGCTCATCGGGTCCTGAAACCAGGAGGACGGTTTCTCTGCCTGGAGTTCAGCCAAGTGGACAATCCCCTTGTATCCAAGTTGGTATTGTTTTTTTTTGTTTTTTGTTTTTTTTAAATCAATCTTTATTGTGCATATTATTACAAAGGTTCCTCATTTCTTCCCCCCTCCACCAGGTTCCCACCCCACCCTCTGCCCTCTCCCCATCCCCCATTGTCCTCATCCATAGGTGCACAGTTTATGTTCAGTCTCTTCTTCCCTCCCTTTCCCCAATAGTAAATCCCTTTTCAGATAGTAAATCAGTTACTTAGCATTTTCTCATATCAATAATACCTCCACATGCCCAATGATACACTTCACACAAAAGACATTTCCTAATAGGTCAACTAGCTTCATCCAGGCCCCACCCAAGGCACTCACAGATTAACACCCCAGCCGTATACTAACTCAACACATCCAGATCCAGATCTAAGCCTTCATCACTTGATTCAGCAGACCCTCAAGTTCCCGAGAAAGTTTCCAGCCATGTCTGAGAGGTAGCCGTGGGGCAGGGGCAGGCGAGGAGTGAGCTGTTCCGGGCCTGGCTACTCAGGGCCTGGCTTCTGTTGCTCTGGTTTGTTCCACAACCAGCTGCTCCGGGTCTGGTCACTGCCGCTCCCGACCTAGTTGCTCTGGACTTGGCAGCCGCTGCTCCGGGCCTGGCCGCTCCCAGCCTGGCAGCTGCTGCTCCGGGCCTGGCCAAGTTGGTATTGTTACCAGGGCTTGATTCTCATTGGGTAGCCAGGGGTTCCCACTCCAAAATGTACAAGAAGTAGCCAGTAAGCAGGAAGCATGAACCTCACAGCCTCTCCTGAATGAAAACATCTAGGCCTGGGGAGTCTCACACCAGCAACCGGAGGCTTCAGGCTGTCCACAGGTTTTGAGTCCTGGCATTTTAATACGTTGGTTTAGATGTTCATATTTAAAATTCATAAAAGTTTACATAAAAAATCTGGATTTTCAGCTTTACCTGAGAAATCAGAAAACAGCGACCCCGGGTAAGCCGTATTCCCACACGGCCACGGTCAGAGCTGAGCAGTAACCATCCCTTCTCCCCTTTACGGCACCTCCTAACGTACCGGTCACCGCACCCTTATCGCTCCTTACGGACTTTGCACCTGGACACTTCACTTAGTTTGGGTACTTGCTTGACCCTCTAGGCCAGTGGTTCTCAGCCTTTCTAATGCTGTGACCCACAGGTTGAGAACCGCCAGCAGGGTCACCTAAGACCATCGGAAGACATAGATATTTACATTACATACCAGTAGCAAAATTACAGTTATGAAGTAGCAACGAAAACAATTTTATGACTGGGGGTCACCACAACATGAGGAGCTGTGTTAAAGGGCCGCGGCATTAGGAAGTCTGAGGACCACTGCTCTAGGCATCTGAGTTTGTGACCACAGGCTTAGACCTTCTTGCTTCTCACCAAGGGGCATGTTCTAACCTTAATCCTTTGCCTTTTTGTCTAGGCTTTATGATCTCTATAGCTTCCAGGTTATTCCTGTCCTGGGAGAGGTGATTGCAGGAAACTGGAAGTCCTACCAGTACCTTGTAGAGAGTATTCGACAGTTCCCAGCTCAGGTACCAAACTTCCATAACTTATGCCAAAGGCCTGACAGGTGACATCGAGGTGATCCTTGCCATGTCTCCCTTTGTGTTTTAGGAGGAATTCAAGGAGATGATAGAAGATGCAGGTTTTCAGAAAGTGACTTACGAAAGCCTGTCATCAGGCATCGTGGCCATCCACTCCGGCTTCAAACTGTAACTCGTCACCGCCCGGAGCATGAGCGACGCATCGTGTCAGAAGCCGGCAGCTCAGGATAGTCAGGCTGGTGAGCCGGCAACACAATTTTCCTCTTCAGGATATGTGCTTTGGACTCATGTTCCCATGTGACCAATCTCAAAGAAGAAACAGATTCTGTCACTTGATTTCAGCTTTCACTAGGAACTGCTTCCTGCAGGCCTTCTCCCCGAGTTATCTTGCCTGTAGTTTTTGCTCCGTTCCTGCTCCGTCCTCAGCTGTGCAGTGTGTGGGGAAGGTAAAGCCAGCACTAACGCTCAGTTTACAGTGTGTTTGGAGTTTCTCTGCTGGTTCTGACTTCCAGAAGGACAGTGGATCATTTGAATCTAATGATTTGAACCAGAAAAATTCCTAACTACCTGAGTCAGCCTTTCAGCCTAGGACTGGTTAAGGGCCAAAGCCAAGGCCTGTCAGCGCTAACAATCACAACTAGAATTATGTACTGAACCACTAAATGACTTTACAATTTGTATGGTATTTGTAAATCTTTTCTTGGAAATACATTCATTCGATGCTCTTCATTGATTCAGTGCTCTTCTACCAAAAGCCAGTTGTTCCCTGTGCCTATCATGAAGAAAACAAATCCAGAAAACACCTCTTTTATGTCTTAGAAATCTTTGTCAGGATATATTTGAAGAAAGGATTTTATAGTAAAAAATGTCTCAAAAGTATTTATCTGGCCTAACCTCCTCCAGTACTTGGGGGCAGAGCTCCTGTATCCTTAAGGTAGTAATTGATGTTAAAAATGAGGCCCTATTTTTTATGTGGATAAAGCTTAAGGTTCATGTGGGGCCTTGCTAAGAAATTGCAGAAACCAACCTGCGAGTTGGCTGGCACTTTAATTGTAAGTAACTGAGATCTGGGCTATTGGAACAGGTTGCCCCTTGTCCGAGCACAGTAGGGGTCATTTATGTGCCTTCCCTCAAGATTTTGCCTGTCACTGAAAAGCTTTCAGATATAGCTATCTGTATGCAACTATCTCAAAGACAAAGACAGCAAATAAGCACTCAATAAAATGATAACCCTGCCGAAACCAGTTTAGCTCAGAGGATAGAGCGTTGGTCTGCGGACTGAAAGGTCCCAGGTTCGATTCCGGTCAAGGGCATGTACCATTGGTTGTGGGCACATCCCCAGTAGGGGATGTGCAGGAGGCAGCTGGTCGATGATTCTCTCTCATCGACATTTCTAGCTCTTTATCCCTCTTTCTTCCTCTCTGTGAAAAATCAATAAAATATATATTTTTAAAAATGATAACCCTTATACAAACTTTACTCTTCCCCACACCCCCCAAGCTGGAGCCTACGGCCTTTGAAATTAACAAGGAGCAGGCACTAGAGGGAACTTCATAAAACATCAGCCCAGTCCTATTCCACAGCAATGTGGTTTCTTCACATCTTAATTAAAAAAAAAATAAGGTAATGCTGTAACTGGTTTGGCTCACTGGATAAGAGTGTCAGCCTGCGGACTGAAGGGTCCCAGGTTTGATTCCCGTCAAGGGCATGTATCTTGGTTGCATGCACATCCCCAATGGGGAGTGTGCAGGAGGCAGCTGATCGATGTTTCTCTCCCATTGATGTTTCTAACTCTCTATATCTCTCCCTTTCTCTCTGTAAAACACATATATATATATATATATAATGTTTTAAATTTGATAGGGGAGAGAAAAAAGACTGAAGTCTTCCTAAAATTGATAGCAGGAAACCTTTAATGGTGGCTATACTTACCCACTTTTAACTGGGTCTTTTAATGGAAACTTCAATTTAATTTGTTAATTGGGTTTCTGACCACAACTAGTTCAAGCACTGCACAGCAGGCTTACACATTTAAATTCCTGCCGATTTTATAATCACAAGGAAGGCTGCTGCTCAAAAACTTTCCCTTTTAAAACCACCTTTAATCTTTACAGTATCCTTTTGGGGCCTGGTAGGGGAGGGGAATAGCCCAGAGACTAAGTTTCTCATTAGCTTGATACCAGCTTTTTACGTTTTACAGCCATGGAAAGCTTATACCAATATATCACCATTTTTTCAGAGGAAGGGAGAGGCAGAGAGAAACATTGATGATGAGAATCACTGATCAGCTGCCTTCTACAGTCCCCACACTGGACATTGAGCCAGCAACCCTGGCATGTGCCTGACGGGGAATTGAACCAATACCTCCTAGTTCATGGGTCAACACTCAACCACTGAGCCATGCCAGCCGGGCTCTATATCAGCATCTTTTAACAAAATGAGCACCTAAACACAGTATTTAGCAGGTCAGGAATAAGACTTAACCCGTTTCTGACATGTACTTCTGAGTATTCTGTCATGCATAACAGAAACTGAGTAGGCTAGCCCTCGCTGGTTTGGTTCAGTGGATAGAGCGTCCGGGTCCACTTCTGGTCAAGGACACAAGCCCAGGTTTGGGGCTCAATCCCGTGTGGGGCATGCAGGAGGCAGCCAATCAATGATCTCTCATCATTGATGTTTCTCTCCTTCTCCCTCTCTGAAATCAATAAAGACATATTAAAAATAAAACATAAGCTGAATAGGCCAATCTACTATATTCCACAGAAACTTTCTTCAGGGACTCACTCCAATAACTGAGATGGCTATGAGCCACCTTCAACACTAGATTAGTTGAACAAATTATAACACACAGTTCTCCGACAAATTTTATTTTGGGAAAGGAATGGATTTTGAGGAGAAAAAAACATGGGACAGAGAGGTATGGAATAGAAAATAAATACAAATGTAAGCTTCTTTGCTAATTGTTTTATAACAACAGATGAGTACAGCGAATACCCTGTACAAAACAACACAATAAAGGTTCAAGATTAAGGTGTTCCCTTCGGCAAGGCTCAAGACTCCCAGTCTCTGGTATTTGGAATTTAGGCTGCAATCCTTATTTTTGGATGGATCACTGGGTGTGTGGGACAGTCCATGCTTTTAACCAGATTTGAACAGAAGAATGGCCACTTGGCCCAGGTAGAAGTAGATGAAGTGTTTGGTTTCATGTGTCACGTAACTACCGAAGTTCCTCCCCACGATGCAGTGCCAGGTGGGGTTGTACTTCTTGTCAAACTCCTGGTGGAGGGAGAAGGGGAGAAAAAGAAGACCAGAATGTTAGTGCTAAATCAGAGGTCAGAGCCTGCTGGGGCAGAGGGGAGGAACGTTAGCATCTGCAAATTCTTAGAATGAAAGAATGTTTCCCAGCTCCAAGTCGCCTACATGGTGCATTAATGCAAACATGCTTGCAGTCTGCGCTAAGCTGGAGATGGGGGCTGGGCTGTAAAAGGCAGAAAGGGCAGCCTCGAAGACTGAGCACTTTGTTATGGCAATTCCACCCTAAAGCTTCCATGTAACATCGACAGTTCTCGTTTATCTTATGTGTAAACGGAATTAATCCTTCTATATGTCATGCACCCCCAAATGTAAGAAAATGGTAAATGTTTAGCTCAAAATACCCCATTATAACTCATTTCCTTAACTGCACTCCAGTATCTCTGATATGGGGACAAAGTCTCAATTCGCACCACTGTGGATCAAAAATTTAAAGAGACATTTGGCATGCCAGAACTCCTATAAAAAGAATGCTGGAAACAGAATCTGACAACCACCTGGTCAAATTTTATCTTTAACTGTAATTTCAACAGCCCTCCTTATCACGTCCATCTTGATGCTGATACACCACCTGGTCCACAAGGAGAGCAAGCTGCGGCAACACTTCCCCCCATTTTCCCGACCCCAAGAGGTTTGAGAACTAACTAGAAAGCCCCTGTTAATTTTTCACTAGGTGACTAAACAGGCGCCAAAGCTAATCCTTATCTGTAAAGTTATTAAAAGTCTGCGGTTTGGCTACTCTTATCTTGGGTGCAGCATTCTCCTTTTAGATTAAGGAGAATAACATTCTCACTGCGTTTGTCAAAAAATGGTATTTATTTCTATTCCATCTGAAGCCTATCTTCCTATTCCCGACTGGAACCCTGTCACAGCTTAGGCGGCCCCTTTCCTTCCCTTCCAGAAGGCATGGCAGTTAGCAGTTCTGCCAGCTTTTTACAGACTGTCATTTTCCAAGCCCCCTCCCCAGCCCTCAACCACCACCAGCACCACCCACTTTCATCTGCGACTGAACTCCGCGCTGGAAGGCTGGCACGCTCTCCCTCCGGCTGGCTGGCTGCACCCACGCAGCTCCCCCCTCGAGCACCCAGATGGATCTTCCGCGCAGAAATCGTGCAGAAGGGGGAACCGCTGCTCCCTGCGCTTAGAAACCGTTGCTAGGTGGCGCTTTCCCCCCCGCGGAGCTGGATAATAAAAAAAAAAAAACTTGGGGCGCCGAGGCTCTGGTCTTGCCAAGAGGAGCACAAAATTCACTTACATTCTTTCTGGAAAACTCTACACCCAAGCTGCCCTGCGTGCCCTCGTGGACCGCTGCCAGGCGCTCTGGGGATGCATGACCCGGACAAGAAGTTGTGGCTCCCGCCAGCGGTGCGCAGTCAGCCCGAGCCCCTCCCGTGCCCCCTCCTCACCTTCTTAATATGGGCCGCAATGTCCTTTTCTATGTTGTACTTCTCCAATGCCTGGGTAGCACATTCCACGGAGTCCTGTTGCATCTCCTCCGACATGTCGGCATTTTTGATCACCGCCTTTCGGTCGCACATGGTTACCTGAGGAAGGAGGCCCAAGCGCGGGGTGAGGAGCTGGGGGGCAGGGGGGTGTGGACTGCGCCTGCGAGGCACCAGCTCCCCCGCCCGCTCCGCGCGTCCCACGCCATCCCGGAGGACGCCCCCCGCCCCACGGCTCAGGGAGGCGGGCCCCGCCGATCCACCAGCGGGAGGACCTCAGCGGGTCCAGAACCAGGTAGCGAACCCCCCTGAGCCCCTGAGTCTCTCACGGTGGAGCAGCGGCTGGCCGCCTGCAACAGTCTCCTGGGGGAGGGGCTGGCGAGGCTCAGACCCAGCTGGCGAAGGCGTCGCTACAGAGTCCGTGGCGCATCTGAGCCCCACAGCAGCCGCCGCCGCCTAGAGCCTAGGCTCCGCCCTGCTTCTGGAGACCCCGCCCCCAAAACGTTCCTACTGGCTTGCCACAACCCTCAGGGCTCTCCCATTGGCCCATGGGCTCCCTTCCCTCAGGATCTTTCTCCAGCATTTTGTTGCAGACCACAATGCACTGCTCGTGGCGTCTGTTGCCCCGGCAATAGGCTGGGCTGCACGCGTTGAGGTCCACACCCCCCCACGCCCCCCCCCACCCCCCGAAGGTGGAGCTGGGGCGCGCAATGGAGAACCACCCAGCGGCTAGACGGGTGCGAAGGGAGTTTCTGTCCAAGCCAAGGGAAGTGATTCCAAATTTACGGAGGCTGTCCCAAGATTTGCTCTTGAATAGATAGTTGGGTCCATTCTGACTGAGGTGGCCAGGGCCGGCTACCGAGGCAAATAGTCAACGCAGTCGCAGAAGAGGGAACCCCTGGACTTGATTTAAGGCTCTACTGTCTCATTCTAAAATTGTCTTTTTAAACAAGAGATCCCACATTTTCTTTTACGTGTGTGTGTGTGTGTGTGTGTGTGTGTATTACTTGCATATAGTTTTTTTTATTGATTTTTTACAGAGAGGAAGAGAGAGGGACAGAGAGTTAGAAACATCGATGAGAGAGAATCATCGATCAGCTGCCTCTTGCACACCCCCTACTGGGGATGTGCCCGCAACCAAGGTACATCCCGTGACTGGAACCGAACTGGGGACCTTTCAGTCCGCAGGTGGAAGCTCTCTATCCACTGAGCCAAACCGGTTTGGCTGGGTGGATAGAGAGCTTCCACCTGCGGACTGAAAGCTCTCTATCCACTGGGTCCTGCAAATTATGTAGCCTGTTCTTTTAAATATCGGAGAGAGGTTCCTCAGGAATGGGAGAGGGGTTCCTTATGATTTAAAGGATTATCTCAAGAGTTGGGTCTCCCTGCTGTGCAATGCAGACCTCCTTTAAGGGCATTAAGGGCCCTGCGGGTGGGTTTGGGTGTGTGTGCCTAGGGTGGGGCTTCTTGCTCCCAGAGGCTGTCTTTCCGGTGTGGTAGTTTCTTGGAGAAGGACTTATATCTAGGGCAGAGATGCCCCAGTGATCAGAAAGGAATCCCTCAGAGGTTATTTCCTCTGGCTTAGGGAGGCCAACCTAACCATTAAGTGGTTGAAAAAAGCAAGGTTTTGAGAGGGTAGGGAGCAAAGTCAGTTCTGGATTTAAACCCCAGCAGTCATTTACTAGCTGTTTGAATCTCATTTTTCTTATCTGTAAAGGGGGCTAAATATAAAAGGAATACACTTTATAGGCATGTTGCAAGTATTAAATTAACTAATCATGCCTTTTAAGTTCTCAGCACAACTGTGTGGCATATAGTAGGTATCCAGAGAATCTTATCAATAACTAACTATCCCGAGAGTCAAGGCAAGGTTTTGAACCAACCCTTAAATGCCTATATTTTTGAACTTCCACAACAAGCCATCAGGTTAATTATGTAACCAGAAGCTTTCTGTTTACACGTTTGCATTTTCTTCTTGACCATCTGCTCTCATGAGCCCAGAGCCCCTTACAATCTGACCAGCCAGAGGCACACAACTCCGAAAAGGAAGAAGTGGGAACAGTGAGGACCTTAGGTATAACATATGCATATCCATTAAATTAATAAATTGAGGGGCTTTTCCCAGTTCCAGGTTTCCAATACTCAGACTGTAAGTTTGAGGAGTGAAAATAGGTATATATGGTGTCGCTCCTGAAGAAGTTGGGAGTGAGGTTGGGCTGGTACTTCTGCCTGACTTGGGTGAGGCTGAATCAGCGCTTCTACCTGCCTTGGTGCATGAGTCATAGCTGTGGAATCTAATGGCCCAGAACCTGAATCTTTCATGGAGGCCTTTACTTTTATATATATACACTAGTGACCCGGTGCATGGATTCATGCACATTGAAAGGAAGTTAATTAGAAGGTGGCCAGTGGGGTGCGGAGGGCCAGACACACGCCCTGGAGCCAACCTCCTTTGTTCCTTCCCCAGCCGGCCTGCTGGACCTGGGGTGCTGCCGCAGCTTGAAGGGCATCTGCGAAGTGAGTGGAGTCCCTTTGGCAGGTGGGGCCCCTCCACCTGACCTGTGGGAATTTGGCCAAAACCACCTCTCTGACATCCCCCAAGGGGTCCCGAAGTGCAAGGAATCGGGCTCCCTCCTCTCTGGTTCTGGGGTGCATCACCAGAGAACCACCATTGCCAGGTCACTGCAGCTCGGCAGCTCCTGGGTTGAGCATCTGGTCACTGGTGGTCAGTGCCCATCATTCCTACCGGCCCATCAGCCTATAAGCCACTTAGCCTTTTATATATATAGATGAAAAGTGTGTATATATATATATATATATATATATATATATATATCCCTCTGCTCCACAGCTTGGCCAACTTCTTGTTTGAACAGAAGTTGCCAACAGTAGAGTGGATGAGGTAATAAGAATAGCAGCTGTTTTTTGAGTGATTGTTTACCACCACACACTTTGCATTCACTCAGTTATTCCTCACAACAACTGTGCCTGGGACCCCTTTCCTGCGATCTCTCTCCTGGCATAGCTGTCTGCTTATTTAATTTTAGCTCAAATGCTACCTTCCCTGAACTCCCACCTCTACTTGCTCTCTACCACTATCCTTCAGGTAGTCTCTACAGCACTTTAAATTCCTTCATTGTACTTGCCTCACTTATTCCTTCAAAGGAATTATCTCATATATTTGTCTGCTTGGTTGGTCATCCATCTGCCACTGCCTGTCTTGTTCACCACTGCATCTTCTGCATCTGATTCCGTCTCTTCCATGCAGTGCATGTTCAATTCATACCAGGTCGTTGTCTGGCCAGTGGCTCAGTGGTTGAGCATCAACCTATGAACCAAGAGATCACAGTTTGATTCCCAGTCAGGGCACATGCCCGGGGTTGTGGGCTCAATCCCTGTGGGACATTCAGGAGGCAGCCAAATCAAAGATTCCCTCTCACCATTGATATTTCTCTTATCTCTCACTTCCTCTCCGAAATCAATTAAAAAATATACATTTCTTAAAATTTTTTCTCCATTTGTAGCACCTGCCTTCCCTAATATTGCCTGGGTTTGAACTAGCTCTTGACCCTAAATATTTCCTTTAAATGTGAAAGAAGGGCACTACCAGAAACCCATGCCTCTCAGGCCTGTTTCCTCCCCAAGACCATTTGGGGACATTGTTTTTAGGGACCAAAAATCTTCAGCCTTGCCCACTGGCATGGCCCAGTGGTTGAGCATCAACCTGTGAACCAGGAGGTTTGATTCCCAGTCAGGGGCATGCCTGGGTTGTGGGCTCATTCCCCACTGTGGGGCATGCAGGAGGCAGCCAATCAATGATTTTTTTTTTAATTGATTTTTTTTTTTTTTTTTACAGAGAGGAAGGGAGAAAGATAGAGAGTTAGAAACATCAATGAGAGAGAAACAATCAGCTGCCTCCTGCACACTCCCCATTTTCTGAATTCAGAAGCTTCTTCCAGGTGGAGAAGGACTGGCTTTGTGATAGTAAGGTGCCTGGGGCTGGCAGGAGAGCTGAGCTTTGGAACCAAGCTGCACTGCAGGACAGGGTGAGTGAGGCCAGACGGGCAGGGGCAACCCAAGGAAGAAAGTCTCCCTCTGGCCAAGAGCCAAGCCTCACCTGAGTGGACAGATACCTGTGAAGGCCCAGCACTCGGCCTCCTGTCCATAGGGGAAGTAGGTAAATTCAGGCACATCCAGAGAGGCCTAGTAGGCCCCCGTCAGCTCCCAGTCAGTGGGCAGACAAATGTAGAACAGAGACTAAAAATACAGAATTCGAGGCCAGGTAGACCTGGGTCTACAGATCTTGACTCTACCCTACTAAGGTGTATAACTTTAGATAAGTGAGTCCATCTTTCTAAGCCTCAGTTTCCTCATTTGTACAATGGGTGTTGCAATAGTCCTTGTTTCTCAGGGACAATTTGGAATTGAGATGGTGCATGTAAAGTATGTAGTACAGAATTTGGCACATGGCAAAAGTCAATGATCTATACTAATAAAAGGGTAATATGCAAATTGGCCACGATGCCCTCACAGTAACAACCGAACAGCAGGCTGCATGGGGCGACAGGACTGCCAGGGAATTAGCGAGGGATGACCAAATGACTGAGCAGCCGGCTGACTGTGAGGGGCAACCAGGCCAGCAGAGGGGGGGCAGTGAGGGGCAACCAGGCCAGCAGGGGGGACAGTTAGGGGCAATCAGGCTGGCAGGCAGAGGTGGTTAGTGGTGGATCAGGCTGGCAGGGGACAGTTAGGGGTGATCAGGCTGGCAGGCAGGTGAGCAGTTAGGAGTCAGCGGTCTCAGATTGTGAGAGGGATCCTAGATTGGAGAGGGTGCAGGCTGGGCTGAGGGGAACCTTCCCCCCGTGAATGAATTTTATGCACCAGGCCTTTAGTGCTAGAATGTTACCCTAAACCAGGATTTTTCAACCTTGGCACTAACATTTTGAACCAGAAAGTTTTTGTTGGGGGGCCATTCTAGGCATTGAAGGATGTTTACCAGCATCCCTGGGCTCTGCACTCCAGATGCCAATTGCACTCATACCAGTTGTCAACTAAAAATATCTATAGACAACACCAAATGTCCGCTAGGAGGTGAA